CTCTTGCCATGCACAAAAGTTAACTCAAAATGGATCAAGGAGCTTGATATCAAATCAGAGACACGGAGTCTGATAGAAGAAAAAGTTGGCTACGATCTATATACTGTGGAGTCGGGCTCCAAATTCCTCAATAGGACACCTATAGCACAAGAGTTAATAACTATAATCAACAAATGGGACTTACTCAAACTAAAAAGTTTTTTCTCCGTAAAAGAAACAGTAAGAGAGGTAAATAGGGAGCCTACATCCTGGGAACAAATCTTTACTCCTCACACTTCAGATAGAGCCCTAATATCCAGAGTATACAAAGAACTCAAAAAATTAGACAATAAGATAACAAATAACCCAATCAACAAATGGGCCATGGACCTGAACAGACACTTCTCAGAGGAGGACATACAATCAATCAACAAGTACATGAAAAAATGCTCACCATCTCTAGCAGTCAGAGAAATGCAAATCAAAACCACCCTAAGATACCATCTCACTCCAGTAAGATTGGCAGCCATTATGAAGTCAAACAACAACAAGTGCTGGTGAGGATGTGGGGAAAAGGGTACACTTGTACATTGCTGGTGGGACTGCAGATTGGTGCAGCCAATTTGGAAAGCAGTATGGAGATTTCTTGGAAAGCTGGGAACAGAACCACCATTTGACCCAGCTATTCCCCTTCTCGGTCTATTTCCTAAAGACCTAAAAAGAGCATGCTACAGGGACACTGCTACATCGATGTTCATAGCAGCACAATTCACAATAGCAAGACTGTGGAACCAACCTAGATGCCCTTCAATAGACGAATGGATAAAAAAATGTGGCATTTATACACAATGGAGTATTACTCTGCATTAAAAAATGACAAAAATCATAGAATTTGCAGGGAAATGGATGGCATTAGAGCAGATTATGCTAAGTGAAGCTAGCCAATCCCTAAAAAACAAATGCCAAATGTCTTCTTTGATATAAGGAGAGTAACTAAGAACAGAGTAGGGATGAAGAGCATGAGAAGAAGATTAACATTAAACAGGGATGAGAGGTGGGAGGGAAAGGGAGAGAGAAGGGAAATTGCATGGAAATGGAAGGAGACCCTCAGGGTTATACAAAAGTACATACAAGAGGAAGTGAGGGGAAAGGGAAAAAAAATACAAGGGGGAGAAATGAATGACAGTAGAGGGGGTAGAGAGAGAAGAGGGGAGGGTAGGGGAGGGGGGATAGTAGAGGATAGGAAAGGCAGCAGAATACAACAGACACTAGTATGGCAATATGTAAATCAATGGATGTGTAACTGATGTGATTCTGCAATCTGTATACGGGGTAAAAATGGGAGTTCATAACCCACTTGAATCAAAGTGTGAAATATGATATATCAAGAACTATGTAATGTTTTGAACAACCAACAATAAAAATTAAAAAAAAAAAAAAAAAAAGAAGCTATAGAATCACTCAAGCTAAAGAATCCCCTGCTTGACTTCTTATCCCCTTTTAGGTACCAAAATGTACTCTTCTTCACAGCCAAACTTCTTGAAAAGAGTTGTTCACATATTCTACTTTCATTTCCTTACATCTCATGCCTTTCCTAATCTGGAATTTAACATTTTATTATGCCACTAAGACCAATTTTATGAGTCAACAATAACCTCCATGTAGCCAAAATGAGAAGTTTTTTTGAATTTGACTTCTAGCCTATGTGACTCAGCTTATTGAATTGTTGCTTTCATTTTTTAAAAGTTCAATTTATTTAACTTTTGAATAAGAATACATTTATATGTTGAAAGAGTATAAAAGGAATATAGGTCCAGCACAGTGACACACGTCTGTAATCTCAGGTGCTCGGGAGGTGAGGCAAGCGGATGCCAGATTCAAAGCCAGCCTCAGCAATTTAGCAAGGTCCTAAGCAATTTAGTGAAACCCTGTTTTACAACTGGAAAAATTAAAAATTTAAAAAAATAAAGTAAAAGGGCTGAAGATATGGCTCAAGTGATTAAGTGCCCCTGGTTTCAACCCATAGTACCAAAAAAAAAAAAAGAAAGAAAGAAAGAAAGAAAAAATACAGAAGTTCTCTTCTATATATTATCCCATTGAACTTTTCTCTACCAATTAACTACTTTCCTTTCTAGAATTTCCAGAAATTCTTCAGCATATATAATCAAATAAAATTATGTATTCTTATGCTCTCCTCCCTTTCAAACAAAAGGTATTAATTTCACTGCAACACATCTTGCAGATCCTTCCACATCACCACATAGTGTCCTTATCTTTTTCGTAAGTTTTACTGAGACATAATTCACACATTAGAGTTCACATCAAATGTACCTTAGTTGTGTCACACCACAGAGCATACAGGTCAGTAGTTTCCAGTAGATTCACAGAGTTGTGCATCAATTATCACTAAATATAAAATATTTTCATCATCCCCAAAAGAAATCTCATACCCATTAAGTGACTCCCTATTCTGTGCTCCACTCTTCCTCCCAACCCTCTACCCTTTGGTAACCACTAATATATTTGTTTCTGGATGGCCTATTCTGGATACTTCATCTAAATGAAATCAAACAGTATATAGCCCTTTGTGTCTAGTTTCTTTTACTTAGCATAGTTTTCAAGGTTCATCTGTTGTAGTATTTATTTTTACTTTATCTTTTATAGTCCAATAATAGATTCACTTTTTATTTATCTATTCATCAGTTGATGGACATTTGCATTGTTTTTTCAGCTATTATGAATAAATCTACTATGAACATTTACATGCAAGTTTTTGTATGAATGTGCATACACATTCTCTTAGTTACATACCCAGGAGTGAGTAGCTGGGTCATATGGTAACTCTACATTTAACCTTTTGAGGAACTACCAAACTATCATTTTGTATCCTACCAGTAGTGCCAGTGGGTTCTGATTCTCCCACACTCTCATCAACACTTATTAGTGTGCCTTTTCTGATTACAGTTTCCTAGTGGATATGTAGTAATATTTCTTGGCAGTTTTATTTTCATTTCCTTAATGACTGACAACAATGGATTTATTTTCATGAATATATTTGCATTCTTATCTGCCAGTGAATAGCTTTTCTGGAGAAATAACTCCTCAAATCCTTTGCCTATTTTTAAATTGGGTCTCTTTTTCTGAGTTATAAGAGTTCTTCACATATTCTGGGTACAAGTTCCTTATTACATGTATGATTTGCTTTACTTCTTTAAAAAGCGGTAGTATTCTAGGAATCAGATATACAGAATGTATTTGGAAATTTAGGTTTCCAGTCTTCTGCTAATAACAACCCTACCTGTAGGATACCATTTTTGTGAATCACACCTCAGATGTGTTAATAGTAGTAGGTTCCCAAACTTTTGTGTGTACATGAATCACCTTGGATCTTTTTAAAGTACAGCTTCTGATTCAGTAGGTCTGACACAATCCCTCATATGCAGCATTTCTAACAAGCTCCCTGGTTAAGTTGATGCTGCTAGTCTGTGGATCACACTTTAACTAGCAAGTACTACTACATGTGTAGGACAAATTCTAAAAGCAGAATTGATGGGTCAAGGAGCGTGTGCATTTCTAATTCTGGCAAATTGTCCTCCATGGGGATTATACCAACTTATATTACCATCAGGAATGTATGAACACGGTTACTTCCCCCAAATATTTACCAATGAAGAATATTACCAGGGGCTGGGGTTGTGGCTTAGTGGTAGAGGACTTGTCTGGCATGTGTGAGGCCTTGGGTTCGAGCCTCAGCACTGCATATAAATAAATAAAATAAAAAGATCCTTTAACAACTAAAAAAAAAAAAAAATATTACCAAACTTTCAGATCTCTCTGATAAATGTTTAAAAATTCTTTAGTTTTATATTTATATTCAATGATATTAATCATCTTTTCATATATTTGAAAGCCATTTGTATTTTTCTTCCTGACTACTGTGTCTATTTCTTGAATTTGTCTCCCCTACAGCTTCTATGATTTGACTCCTTTTAAGTAATTTTTTCCTTACTTCTTGGTATCTCAATTTGGATATTTCTCAGGCATTTCAAACTTTTAACATCAAGAAAGAATTCCTTTCCATCTTAAATGGAAAATGGTTTGACATCCAGCTGCTAAAACAAAATCATTATTAATTCTTCTTTCCTATTTCTAACCCTTAATCTACTATCAAGTCTGATGTTTCCAGCTCAAATCTGCTTCTCTTCATTTCCACTACATTCTAAATTATAGTCACAGGAGTAGACAGTAATAAATATTTTACTTATTTCTGTTATCTGTCTCTCCAAACAAACTATAAGCTCCATGAAAACAAAGATCTCTTAAGTCACCAAATACCTATAAAATGTCAACTGACATTCTTTGAGACTAAGACATCAAATGTCAAAAAAAGAGGACAATCTTCAATACAATACTGAGTTGAGTCTATATGAACTGAGAATTCTACATTTATAATAAACAAATTTCTACTAGCCCTATCCCCTACATATGATAATTAAGCAAAAACAAAACAACAACAACAACAACAAAAACATATATATCTCAAAAAGGAATAGAATTATACAAATTCCCAATTTAATGACTATGTGTTATGGTTTGGATGTGAGGAATCCCCCCAAAGCTCATGTGTGAGAGAGTGCAAGAAGGTTTAGAGGAGAAATAATTGGGTCATGAGAGCCTTAACCCAATCAGTGAATTAATCATGATGGGATTAACTGGATGGTAACTGAAAACAGATAGGGTATGGCTGGAGCAGATAGGTCACTGGGGGCATGGCTTTGGGGTATATATTTTGTCTCCAGCAGTGGAGCCTCTCTGAATGGAGCCTGCTGTCTATGGATTGAGACCTCTGAAACTGTGAGCCACCAAATTAACTTTTCTTCCTCCTTAATTGTTCTGGGGTCTTTTAGTTGCAGCAGCCAAAAAGCTGACCAAAACACTATGGAAAACAAGTAAATTCACTAAGATGAAAGATAAAGAGCCTTTAAGAAAGAATTCAAAGCACCTTTTAAATAATGGCCTACCTTAGCTGCTGGGGATTTTCATGGACACCAATCACCCAGTAGTGATCAGACTTTCCTTTGCAGTGTTCTCTTGTGTTACACACAGGAGTCCATGTATTACCAAGCCCTCTGTTAAGCATTCGAACATAGCCTTCAGAATCCACGTAGCAGGGGGTACCTATATTCCAACAAAAAAGAAATTATTTGGAGATATAGCACATATTTGTTAAATAAACCCTGTTTCAAAAAAATACATACCAAGGATTTAACTTTTTTAAAATACCTTTATTTTATTTATTTATTTTTATGTGGTACTGAGGATCGAACCCAGGGCCTCCCATGTGCTAGGCAAGCACTCTACTACTGAGCCACAATCCCAGCCCCACCAGGATTTAACTTGTATTTCAAAAAGCAAAGTGAAAAAAGGAAAATAACCCAAGACTGCCCTCTGTGAAATTTCATGAACCACACAGACTATGACCTAACAGAAGAAAAAAACTGCATGCGATATGAGTGAAATTTACCCAAATAAAAAGAAAAAAAAACACAGTTCAAATGAAAACTCTGCCATCTGCTGGAATGTAACAGTAACTACTTTAAGCCAATTACAGGGAAAAACAAGAAAAACATTAACGACAACAAAAAAACCTAACATCTGAAGGCTCCTTCCAGGTAAGAGAGATTTGATAAAATGATTAGAAACTGATAGAAGGTAATGATATAAACAAATACCTTTATTACTCTTTTCTTTCATAGCAAAAATGTTACCTACTTACTATGCTACTTACCTCAGGAAGTGCATGACAAATTATCTAATTAACCCTTTTCATACCTGTAGCTTCATACCTCTCTCACTCTGAAAACATTAATTTCCTCAGGGATTACATATGATTGGAACTTGGGAAAAGAAAAAGCTATATAAATGGGAACTATTATTATTAAAGCATAAATGACTAATAATATCCCAATAGAAAACAAATCCAAAAATGGTCAACACTTTAAAGACATATAAACCGGGTATAGTAGGGCATGCCTGTAATCCCAGGTACTTGGGAGGCTAAGGTAGGCCAGGTTTGAGGCCAGTCTGGGCAACTTAGCAAACCCCCGTCTCAAATAAAAAAATGAAAAGGGTTAGGTTTGAAGATAAGTAGAGCACTTCTGGGTTTCATCTCTGATACAGCAAAACAAACAAACAAACAAAATTGATGTTTTCAGTGATGTAAACAAAGACCATACATTGCTAATAACAAAAATATTTAAGCCTCGAAGAGAAGGATAACAAATGCTTTAAAATATGGTATTCTTCCCTGTCTTTCAAATCATATCATAAGCCACTATAAATGGGTCTAAAATACACCATCCAACAGAAACACGTTGAGTCACAAATGTAATGTATATAACAAATACATACATATGTTACAAATATATGTGTGTAAACACATTGCAAATTTATTATTTGCAGTACTAGTCCAGGGCAATCACTGCCCATGCTGGGCAATTGCTCTACCACTAAGCTACTTCCTCAGCCCTACACAAATATGAATTTTTAATTCATAATGCCTCTTTTAAAAAAGGAGGGATAGTCAATTTTAATGTCTTATTTAATCCAACATATCCAAAATATTACCACTTAAAAATGTAACAACAGAAAAAAGATTAGAGTTTTTTACATTCTTCTCTAATACTAAATTTGGAGAATATACTTACAGAACATTAGCCACATTTTAAGTGTTCAATAGCCACATGTGGCCAGTAGTTAATTGCAATGGACAGGACAGTTCCAGAAAATTCTTAATTTTGTGTACAATCTGCTAGGAAAGATCCTATTTTACTGTTGATTTGTATTTCCACCTTGCTGTCTAATAAATAAATATTAGGAAACCATTTCCATTAGTAAGTTTCTAATGTGAATTCTCATAAAAAGAAATCTTGTTCTTTACACATATTACTTTACCTAACAAGTGCAGTTTCCAATTCTACCAACATGTTAAAATACAGAAATTAAATGTAAAATATAGACAACTTATCTTTAAGGAAATTAATTAAATTCATTAATGATTTTCTTCTTGAAAAGTGAGCTTAATATAAAGAAAAAATTAGCTTGCCTTCAGCTGAAAAACCAACCCAGACAAGGTAGGATTTCCTTGTAAGAGGAAGAGGATCACCATGTAAAATTTGTTTTTTCTTTTTCCCCAGCTCTAATAGTTGAACTCCAAGGCACTGATCTCCATCAAATCCTGTACCTAGTGAGAAAATGTAAATATAAATCAAGCATTGAAGGTTATTTAGCAATAATGCAAAAATTATTTTGATTGATTTTTATGTTTCTGTTTTAGAATAACTAGTACTATTTTTATAGACAACCCATGTGAGGCACCATTCAGGTATTAGAAATAGAATTACATGTTACATGGACTATTTATATAAAATGATTATAAATGATATTCACTTAATTAAGATTTATTTATAAAGAACTTATCATGTAACCCTAGGCACTGGTCTAGACAATGAAGCTACAATGGTAAACAGTTTTTTGGGTGTTTTTTCCCCATGAAATTCATACTCAGGTTGAAACAGAAATTTAAAAGATTCAAGAAGAGCAAAAAACGCTACCAAAGATTTGAAGCAAATATGTGTTAGAATGAACTGAGAGATTAGTTTAGATTATAGTTAGAGGTGGCCTTTATGAGAAAGTAAAATTTAATCTGAGATATGAATTGCAAGTTGGGGCAAGCCATGCAAATGTTAAGGAAAGGAATACTACAGGAGGAAGAGGGAATCACTGATGGCAGGTCCTCTGGCAGGGGCAAGCTCACGGTGTTCAAAGTACACAAAGTAGCAAGTATGGCCAGAACATGGCAAAAAGAGAAAGTGGCAAGAGATGAGGCTACAGAGGGCAAAGTTCAGCTCGTGTAGGATCAGATCACCTTACCAGCTACAATAAGAAGTCTGGCTAAAAGCGAAAGAACCTCAGAGAGATTTGAGCAGAAGAGGGAGATGATCTGATTTTCATACTGCTGTGTGAAAAACAGACCTTGAAAGGCCAAGAATGAGAGCTGGAAGAATAGATAGCTATTATGGCAGTCTGACATGACATACCGGTTGGTCCAGGGTATGAGTGGAGAAAATGAAGAGACAGATTTGGAATCTGTTACTCCATAGAACTGACACGACAATATAGCTTTTCTAATGGGAAGTGAGGGAAAGAGAAGAATTGAGATGCCTACATAGAGGTTTCAAGTGAGCATACTATAAAAGATATAACTTTATTTTATTAACATTTTGTTTTTAATTTCAATAATATATGAAAATCTAGACATGCAATAAGGTACTACTAGTGATATCAATTTAGAAGTCACAAACATACAGGAACTTCAGAGAAGCCAAGAAAGTATATCTGATGGAATTGTTAAAAAAAAAAAAAAGTGCAAATATATCAGTGGTAATCTTGGTAAGACCAGTTTTAAGACCACATAGTGGTGGGGACTGAAGACAACATGAAGTGAGGAAAAGGTGTCAGCAGCTTTTGAAAAGTCACATTCAAAGTTGTCTTCGTCCTTTACACTAGAAGTGAGTTAATTTTTGAGTTTTTTTTTTTTTAAATTATGAAAGTTCACTGACACGCTTGCCCAAAGATGCGATTTATTTATTTTTATTTTTAAAAAGAGAGAGAGAGAGTGAGGAGAGAGATAGAGAGAGAATTTTTTAATATTTATCTTTTAGTTTTTGGCGGACACAACATCTTTGTATGTGGTGCTGAGGATCGAACCCGGGCCGCACGCATGCCAGGCGAGCGCGCTACCGCTTGAGCCACATCCCCAGCCCCCAAAGATGCGATTTAGACATGTAAGTAATCAATCAGACTTGGAATTCTCTTGATAATACCACATAAGTTCTATAAAGTTCTCATTTTCTTTGCTATTAGTACATAGAACAAAATTCTCCACATTCAAAGATTACACTGATGCAATATTAAATAAATGCAAAAGCAAGCCCAAAAGTACCAACAAAAAGCTCAATAATCTCCATATTACTGCAGGTCATAATTTAATTTATGAAAGACTGAAAAATCTACCTCTGTGATAAATAATGAAAAGCTGTTCTCCATGTCCTGCCATTGACACCACAGGTCCAGGAAGGCTGAAGACCTCTTTTTGAACACCTCCAATAGTAAATAATCGAAGGAGCAAGGCACTAGTGGCAGCAGCAGCCCATCCCTGACCCAAACATATGGCTTCAATATCCTCATTCTGAGGCATGTCTACTATCCACTCTTTGCTTGAATCCCAAGAACTAAAGTGCAGGCAGTGAAGCTTGCTAAAAAATAAAAAAAAAAAAGAGAGACAACCCAACTTTTATGAGATGTTTTATATATACAACTAATCATGAAACCCAATAACAAAAGTTTATTTTTCTAGTATATACTTCAGTATAAAAACTGTTTTAAGAAAATAATTATGAAATATCCTGAAAATGAATTATACTAAAACTATTAAACCATATTTTTTATGAATATTCAAAGATATAGGAAAATGCTCTATAATACAATGTTAATTAACTAAAAAGGCAAGCTAAAACCATTAAATGTGATTCTATGTTGCAAATGTAAACAAAAAAAAAACACAACTAAGATTTTTTTTATATTGATTTTTAGTTGTAGTTGGACACAATACCCTCATTTATTTTTTATTTATTTATATGTGGTGCTGAGGATCGAACTCAGGGCCCTGCACATGCTAGGCAAGTGCTCTACCGCTGAGCCACAACCCCAGGCCCACAACTAAGATTTTTAAAGATAGTATGAAAATATTAAGCAACAGTTCTCTTACTGAAAAAAGTAACCAAAAGGGAAAAAAGAAAAAATTATTACACATAGTAGAATCAGAGACTACCAATCACTGCCAAAAATTTCACGTTTCAGTTTTTTTCCTTTGAGCATACATATATAAATGTAAGTTCTTCTTTTTTATTTTTTTTTTAAAGAGAGAGACAGAGAGAGAGAGAGAGAGAGAGAGAGAGAGAGAGAATTTTAATATTTATTTTTTAGTTCTTGGCGGACACAACATCTTTGTTTGTATGTGCCCGTATGCCAGGCAAGCGCGCTACCACTTGGGCCACATCCCCAGCCCAAATGTAAGTTATTCTTTAAGCTTCAGAATACAGATACCATAAGTATTTGGAATCACAAACAGCAGTGACATTCTGAACAGTAATTTTAATATCTAATCTTATAAAAAAGGTAACATTGTATAGGGCTGTGAAATATATTTAAGGAGAACAAAAAGGATATCTAAAATCAAAACTGCACATGGAAATATATGTTCTAATTATGCAAGACATTCTGTGTTGGAGTCACTTACTCAACAGTATTTTTGTATTATTGTGGTTATTTTTGTGGTGCTAGGGATAAAATCCAGGGCCTTGTGCATGCTAGCCAAGTGTTCTACCACTGAGCTATATCCCAGGCCTGTGATTATTTGAATAACCTGATTTAACTCAGTAATAAATGCAGTATTGAATTGATTTTATAATGTGTAAATTAGCACACTAATCAAAATGTTAAAATGACCTAATATAGCATTCACTGGATTTTAATTAATGTATTCAGTCCCATGAGGATCTCATTAAAATGCAGATTCTGATTCAGAGGGTCTGGGTGAGATCTGAGATTCTGGGTTTTCAACAAATTCCAGGTGACCCACAATGCTAGGTTGTGAGCTATACTTTGAGCACAATAAGCAATTATGTATCATTAGATGCATTTTAATTTCAAATCACCTAGGAGAAGTAAAATCCATCCATCAAGTATATCAAGAGTATCAATAAAAGAGATCAAGAAAGACTAATCTGGCTATAATATTAAAAAAAAGAGAAAGAAAAAAAATTTTTCCTTAAAAATGAAAAAAACCTCAAAAACATAGCTGCATCTAAGGCCTTATCATGATTTTTTCCTAGCTACCTACGTATTAACTACTATCAAAACATATAAAGTCCAAAATATATTAAAAACAGCAAATTAATAAACAGTACTTTTGTTTTTCCTTATTCATACTTTTTTTCCCCAAGGAGTAGATTTCAAATCTAATCCATAGCAACTGCAAAAGAAGCCGGGCTTGGTAGTGCCCTCCTGTAATCCCAGCAACTCCGGAGGCTGAGGCAGGAAGATCTTGTGTTCAAGGCCAGCCCCAGCAACTCAGTGAGACCCTCTCTCTAAATAAAATACAAAATAGGGCTCGGAATGTAGCTCAGTGGTCGAGTGCCCCTGATTTCAATCCCTGGTACCAAAAAAAAAAAAGAAAGAAAAATAAAACAAACAACAACAAAAAACATGTATAAATAGTTGTAGTAGTAGTTACACATTTGTCAAACCATCAAATCATATACCTAAAATAGGAACACATACTGTACGTAAATTACACTTCAACAAGGTAAATTTTAAAAGGAGGGTTCATACTGATAGATACTTTCATTTTCTAAAAATTCTGTTACTTTTTTTCCTAACGAATATATGTTACCCTTATAACAACACTAACAGCGTAAAAATTAATCCCATCTTTATTAAGCTACAAATTTTGTCGTGTCATTTTGTTTGATATGTAGTTAAGAGAATGTAATTCGGAGATAATTAGAGCAAAATCAGACACATGTTCTGAGGTATTATGTGTAAGCCAGTACTTGTACCAAATGCTTTTATCTGAAATTTCATACTATAAAAGATATAACTTTATTTGATTAACTTTTTGTTTTTAATTTCAATAATATATCTAGCAGCTCACCAGTGCCAAATTCTTCCTAATAATCTTGAATTTACCTTGCTAGTTCATCAGTGCTTTCACATGCCAACAAAATAGCTTCATGGGATAGATCTGCTACTGTATAATTCAAAGCATTTGACAAGTGTGTTGCATGGTGTATTGAGGTATCGTGGAACTCCACATCTATGGCATTGTCATGTTCATCATTATAGCAGCGAATAATTCCAATTGAGTTCCACACCTACAAATATGTAAGATAAAATACAAGTCTGAGGAAAATTGAAAATAAAAAAATCAGTAGGCTACAGGAGTATGAATTAACAATACTGTAACTCAATCTGTACCAAGGTTTAAGTTATAGAAGCTATCACATCTCATCTAACTCTAGTTTCAGGTAGCAGTAGCAGTATCAAAACTACAATTACTAATTATTCTTTTCTTCCTGAATTATAAGCATATTTATTAACAAGTTGAGTATTTAATGTTTAAAAATAAATTACATGACTTTTTAAAAACCTCAAAAGAAACATTTCAAAACTTTAATTTATTTATGCTATGTATACAAACAAGAATTTTTTTTTCTGTTCCAACTAACTGGTTTACATTATAGGATAAATAATATATTTTAAGGCAACATAAATTGACAGCATTTGGAAAACTAATCTTCCACTAATGTCACTACATACAGGCTCACACTATGCCCTAGTATTTCTAATAAAATTATCGCCAATACTTAATTTAATTATATAGTCATTTTGAATATACCTATGTATTTATAACTATAAGTACTTAACTAAATAATTATACATAAAGTATCGACACTAGTAAGATGTTACTTGGTGATTACTGATGGCAGCAGTTTTGTGAATATTAAACATCACCATTTTTATCTACAAAAAAAAATTATGCCAGGTCTTTATCTTTCAAAAAGACAATAGGTAAAATTCCTCAGAGAATAAAACCTCAAATATTCAATAAACAGGATACTAAACTTCTTAAGCTCTCAAACTTGAAGCAAAAAATAATAGTTCATCAATTCAAAAAGTATATATTTAATGCCTACTGTGCAATATCTTGTTTTAAATGCTATCAGTTTAAAAAAACAAGGTTGGGGGTATAGTGCAGTGGAGAGCACTTACCCAGCATGCTAGAGGATCTGTGTCCAATCCCCCACCACCACCACCACCACACACACACACACACACACACACAGAAACAAAAACCAGAAAAATCTCTATCCTTGCAGAGCTTACATTCCAGGAAAGTAGGGTGAGGAAAAGGGGCAGATTCCCCATCTCCATTAGTACTTATCACTCTTTAATACATTACTAGGAGTCACCATCTAAAAAGTATCTTCTAACTAATAAATACACGAGAAACAAGGTTTGGACATCCAGCCATGAAGTATTTCAAGATATATAGTCATATTTACTTAGGTTCTTATGTCATTTTGCAAAACAGAATTTTTTAACATAATTTTCAATAATGTTGAAATAAGAGTAAAACTGAGTTAATCATAAAATAAATCAACCACAAAATTATAATCAACCAAAGTGTTCCAATCCATTTAATCAAGGTTTTGAAAAAAAATGTTTGTTTTTTTTTTAAATCCAACACAATAAATTATCATTAGAAAAAATGCTGAGAAATTATTTTAAAAGTTAAGTGTAGATCCAAGGCTTACCATGAATCTGTGAGTGAGATGTAAGGGTGTAGAGCCTGACTGGAATGGCTTTTGCCGGGGAGTTGGAATGGGCCCATCATAAAATGGCCTTTGGGATGTTACAAGTGGTAGATTGTGAATGCTACCTGCCTGATCTTCCTCCTCCTCTTTGAGAAGACCAGTTTTTAGCATTGTAACATCTGCAATACAAAGAATATAATGAAAAGAATTATAAATACCAATAACCTTGGAAAAGAAAAGCATTATGGAATCTAATAACCTTTCTATTCATACTTAATGAAAACTGACACATTTGTGTCTCTCATTATTGAAGAGATGTAGAGATGATGCAAAAATACTGTTGGGATAAGACTGCTGTCTGCCTTAGTGTAAATCAAGACAGTGATACCAAAATATGTTAGTAGTTACTGCATTATTAACTACCACTCACAGTAATAAAACACTAATCTTATTAAATATTGATCCTTGCATAGTTTGTTTTAAAAAAACAAAAAAGTTCTGGCACAAAAATGGTTAATGTGCATAAAAGAAGTATGATGGTTGCCTTAAAGTTTTTTGGAACCTATTTAATGTTTAAAAATAAATGATAAACATCAGCTAACATATGGTTATGCAGACATGGATATGTGGCAAACATTTTCTTGGAAAGAATGAAGTGGGACTGTCATTTAAGAAAAATAACTGACAGAATTTGTTGCCAGTGATTAAAACTGAGAAAATCAAAATATTGGAAAACTTGTATTTGCTACTATAAGCTTGACAACTTCCTAATATTTAAAAACTTCTGATTAGGATTGGGGATAGCTCATTGGTAAAATGCTTGCCTAGCATGCATGAGGCCCTAAGTAGACCTAGTACTACAAAACACAAACAAAAACTTCTGATGAGATTGGTTATGATAGTAACAAATATATTTTATTTATTTATTTGTTTATTTTTTGGTGCCAGGGATTGAACTCAGGGGCACTCAGCCACTGAGCCACATCCCCAGTCCTAATTTGGATTTTTTTAAATTTAAATTTAGGTTTCACTGAGTTGCTTTTCCTCGCTTTTGCTAAGACTGGCTTTGAACTTGGGATCCTCCTGCCTCAGCCTCTCTAGCCTCTGGGATTACAGGTGTGCACCACATGCCCAGCTATATAATTTTTAATGTGCCAATGAGGAAGGTCTATAAACTTCAGTGAACCATTATTTTCCAAATTACAAAGCATGTGTTAAAAGTTAAATATGGTTTAAAAAACAAACCATTCAAAGTTCAAGTTAAACTAACGATTTTATTTTTTAATATTTATTTTTAAATATTTATTTTTTAGTTATAGGTGGACACATATTCGTATGTGGTGCTGGAGATCAAACCCAGTGCCTCACGCATGGTAGGCGAGCACTCTACCTCTGAGCCACAGCCCCAACCGTAACTAATGGATTTTAATAATAACAGAGCTGAAAATCAGTTCACTGAAGCTTCCAGATTCCACACTGAAAATAATCTTAAAGACTATCATGTAGGCTGGGGATGGAGCTCAGTGGTAGAGCACATGAGGTTCTGGGTCTGATCTACAGCACTACAAATAAATAAATCACACACACACACACAGTATCAAAAACTATCTATAACTCTTTCAACAGGCTATTAAAATACTTCTCCCTTCACGTATCACATCTTTTGAGTGAGGTAAAATTTTCTTCATCCCACATACTTCAAGCACAAGCAATACATGGCAATAAATTTAGTCCAAGAGCAGATGAGAGAATCTCTCTTCTACATTAGATACCACAAACATTGTGATGCCACCATTCTTTCTCTATTTTTTTAATTAACAAAAATTTCTTCACAGGGGGGCTGGGGATGTAGTACCATGCTTGGTACAATGCTTGCCTTGCATGCACAAAGCCCTGGGTTCAATCCCTAGCTTTGTCTCCCCACCATTCCCCCCACCCCACAGGGCACAGTGGCACATGCCTATAATCCCAATGACTCAAGAAGCTGAGGCAGGAGGATCATGAGTTCAAAGCCAGCCTCAGCAACTTCATAAGATCCTATGTCTAAATAAAATATAAAAAAAGGATGGGGATATGGCTCAGTAGGAAAGTGCACCTGGGTTCAATCCCTGGTACCCGCCCCACATGTTTACACTTAATAAATTTATTAATGCTATTTTAAAATTTGTTTTTATGTCCAATATGGTAAATAAAAATAGACATAACCCCATAAACAAATGTTCTTTAGAGATCTTCAAGATTTTTTTAGAATGTAAAGTGCTCCTGAGACCAAAACTTATAAAGACTGCTATTCTATAAATATTATATGACTTAAATGCAGGAAAATTCGCCACTGTACATTGGCATTTTACTAGTTATGTTCAAATGTATTATTTTAATATATAAGTTGTTGCAACAGGCACTTTATTTGAAGGTGATAAATTATAATCTCAACTTATTTAACAGACATAATAGTATTCAGTTTAGCTACTTGAATTAGCTTAGTAGTTTGCATCTTTCAAAAAACTTATTTATCTAAGTTGTGGAATTTATGAGCACAAAGTTTCATACTATCTTCAAAATCTTATTTGGTTGTATTTTATACTTTTAATGAACCTCAATTTGAACAAGCCATATTTTGAGACTGGGGATATAGCTCAGTAGTAGAGCAATTACCTAGCATGCATGAAGCTCTCAGATCAATCCTCAGCCACACACACACACACATAACGCTAGCCATATTTTAAGTGCTCAACAGCCACACATGGCTAGCATCTACCATAGTGGGTAGTATAAGACTATAGATACTATCTTTGGTAACTATTCCTTGTTCATTTTTTATATTAATAATTTGTGTCTTCTCTTTCTTAATCAGTCATGATATACAGTTTTCTATTTTATTGACCATTTCAAAGAAGTAGGTCTTAGTTTCAGTAATTTTATGGTTTTTTTGTTCTGTTTCACTGGATTCTGCTCATTATTTCCTCCCTTCCTCTTTGGGGTTTAATTCCTTCTTTTTCTAGTTCACTAAAGCAGAGGCTTAGATCACTAATTTGAAACACTTTTTTTAACATAAGGATTTGTTGCCCTACATTCCACAAATTTACTTTATCGGCTTTAATAAAAAACTGAAAAATTAAACAAGGTAGATTATCACATGCATACCAACTGAATTTTCATCATCTTCTAGAACATGACTTCGTTGTCTAGCATGACTGGAAGCCAGCATGAGGTCATCATCGTCGTCATCATTTATAGCCCCTCTTGAAAAAGAGGGCATCTCAACTGCATTATCATTTAGAAAATCACCAGCATTACTTGTATTATCACCATCAAAAAGATCGTTGTATTCCTCTTCCACTCTGCTAGATACCTTGAATAAATTAATATAAATTAGAATGCATTAGTGAATTATTTGGGGAAAATTACTCAAAAGGCATTTTTTTTTTTTTTTTTTTTTAATGCTGGGGATTGAACCCAGAGCCTCATTCACACTAGGCAAGTGCTCTACCACTGAACTATATCCCTATTCCTCCCTTCATCCAATGCTGCTCAACTGTACTCAGTATTCCTGAACCAAGGAACTTCTCTGTTACTTTTTCCAAAGAACAAACACATCTCTAACATTCTGCCAGAATATATGTGGGGAGGGCAGTTACCCAGCTGTGCACAATGATTCCAATATGTACTTATAAACCATGGTAACTAAGCAAATGCCTGAAATATAAGCATATTATACTCCTTAGATAAGATATATTTGCTTTAAACCACCTCAACTAAAGTGGTAAAATTAAAGAAAAACAAAGGAGGCAAAGATATTCAACATATTTAATCATATTTCCTAGAATTATGAACATACCATTGCAGGAGTTGGATGCCACTGTAAACAAGTTTTTACATCACTTTACACAAAGTAAAATAACAAGCAGATTCGTGGCAAGAGTTTACAAGTTACTCCTACAGGATAAAAGAAACTGCACAAGTACTTCTAAATATATGTAATCATATAATTTGATGAGTAATTAATAACTAAATGTTATATTTAACCATTCCAGCTACAGTCTTAAAAGTTTATGTACTGGGCTGGGGATGTGGCTCAAGTGGTAGCGTGCTCGCCTGGCATGCGTGCGGCCTGGGTTCGATCCTCAGCACCACATACAAACAAAGATGTCATGTCTGCCGATAACTAAAAAATAAATGTTAAAAAAAAAAAAAAAAAAAAAAAAAAAAAAGTTTATGTACTAAAGTTGGCCAAAAACTTTTTAAAAAAATTTTCTTATTGGAAATTGAGAGTTGTGCCTTATATTTATGATGAAGGCTATAAAATATTAACAGGTGTTGTGACAGAAATATGTGAAGAGTGAAAGCAAAAAGGAGAGAGTGGTCAATTCTAGATAGCAGGATTTAAACATTTTATAAGAGGTAACCTTGGAATTAAAAATTTTTTTCTTAATTAACATTTTGTTTTATTAATGTTATACATGCTTATGTACTAGTCAGTTTTATAGTTTAATAAATAATATCCTAGTATTATTTTTAATTTTTAATCATATATAATAGATCCTATTAATTTCCTTCTACAGAAAATGAAGATTTGGTGGCCTTTTACAATCACCAAGTTCATTCATGTACATTATTTTCCTATCCTAATCCTCCCAATACAGATAGGTTCTCATCTTCATGTAATCGATGCACAGTGTTTACATTATTAAAATCACGCAAGTGAATAGAAGGAAGACTAATAGAGTATGGGAAGGGAATCAGAGAGAGGGAGAACAGGAAAGAAAGAAGACATGATGGGGATTAAAATAAAGAAAACTATATTCATTTATGACTATGTCAAAGTGAACTCCACTATTATGTATAACTACAATGGATGAATAAAAACTAAATAAATTTTTAAAAATTATATAAATGCTATTCATGGCTGAATAATAATAGCCAATTCTTACAAAGTGTTCTAGATACTCTTCTAACCTACATATTCCTTTCATCCTCTTAATAATGCTAAAAGGTAGGCACTATTCCTATCTTCCTTTTAGAGATGTAATATATTAGGATTGCTTTTCCTTTCTTTTACAACTTGTTGTCTTCCCTGTAATTAAGAATCTCTTGCCAGGTGCACTAGTACATGCCTGTAATCCCAGAAACCTGGGAGATTGAGGCAGGAGGATTGCGAGTTCAAAGCCAGTCTCAGCAAAATCAAGATGCTAAGCAACTTATGAGACCCTGTGTCTAAATATAATACAAAATAGGGCTGGGGATGTGGCTCAGTGGCTGAGTGCCCCTGAGTTCAATTCCCCATTACCTGCTCCCCCCAAATCCCTTGTCTCTTTTGGTATTTTTTTCTCATTTTTTGTGTACAGATTTTTTTGGTACAGATTTCCAAAGAAGATTCTTCCAATCTCCTGCCTGAAAAGCATAAGACTGGCTGACAATATTTTGAGAGTCAATTAGAAGTGATCAGGGAATTTCGGCATTCAAGTACCTACACTTTGATTTAAGTCTGTGTTTTCAGTACAGTATTCCCTATTCCTCCCTTCATCCAATGCTGCTCAACTGTACTCAGTATTCCTGAACCAAGGAACTTCTCTGTTACTTTTTCCAAAGAACAAACACATCTCTAACATTCTGCCAGAATATATGTGGGGAGGGCAGTTACCCAGCTGTGCACAATGATATTGAGGCTGAAAGGATCTTTTTGCTTATTAAATTAACCCTGTTGTCAGTCCCACTTTTAGAAGTCCCTAGTGCTACCAAGATATGCCAGGGGATTTAGTCAGGCACTCCAAAAGTTTCACCTCATTTTCTACCCATTGAGGTCTTAGAATCGAACTTTTTGAGAACCTAAAGGTAGTTTCTTCAGAGATCAGACGAGATCGGACGCGTTCCCGGTGGTATGGCAGTAGACATAAAGGTAGTTTCTAATCATCCTTCTATCTTATAGTTTCCCAAATTCTGTTTAACTGTTTTTTGTTTGTTTGTTGTTTTTTAAACTTCAAGAGATTATTCATTTCAAAAGCATTTTTTTTCACCCAGGTCAAGAACTTTGTATGTTCTGGCTATACTAAATACACTCACCTACCTTGTAGATCAAGACATCACCTCCTTCAACTCAGTATGGACCAAAAGAGTGACCAGAACACAACATTCTTTAAACAAATAGCAGTCAGGGGTACAAGATGTATTTCAGCAACCATCTACCAAGAAGTGGAAAACTACCTAGGGTCCAACTACTTATTCCAACTGTGGGACACAAGGGGAAGTTTCAGCATCTGGTTCTTGATTTTCTTGTACCATTATTTACATGGTCTCTGTATCTAGCCTATTGGACTTACTGCTATACATGTGTTATTGGGTGGCCCAGTCTTAAAAGGTGCTTTGTGAAGTTTGGACTCATACTAAGAAACCCACAGAAAAGCACTATCCATGTAGGATTAGAAATTTCCTACTCAAGACTGTTTCAGAGAAATCTTAGGTTTTTCTGCTAAGGCTTCCTATATTTACTTGGGACTGTTCAAAGTGTCTTTTCTATCCTTTTAGCTTGGGTCAGATTGTGGTCATATATGTGCAAAATGCACTCCTTCTACCTTGAGGTTAAGAGTAGTATACCACGAAATTTAAGCTAATAATTTTATATAATTTGAAACTAAATTACTATTTTATTACCAAAGTCAAAATTTTATATTCCCAGTCTACATTATTTCTAATTATATTTGACATAGAAATGACAAGACAAGTTTGCTTATTTTTTAATGTTTTGCATTTCTGGTTGGAGTCAACTTTTCTAAATGAAAATACTTTTTGATCCATTTATGTGTGTGCGTCAAGAAATTAGGGAAACACACATCAGAATTTTTAGCAAAATACTAGATAATAAAACATGAAAGCTGAAAAAATTTTTCTTTATTGTAGTTTTAAAGAAGGCTTCAGGAGAAGCAGAGATAAATGGATGCATTTAGTCTGCAACTAACTGGAGGTCTAAATTAAGACTTGAAATATGAAAAGGTATATTTGTCACATGGGGAGAATAATGAATAAAGGCAAGGAAATATAAAATAAGGTGGCTTATTTAAAGCACTGTAGCAAAGCTATATGACTAAGCAGAAGAGTTGTAGAGGGAACTGTAATAGCTTAGGCTAATTCAGAGCAGAAAAAGTTTACAAACCAAAATGAGACCTGTTACAACTATTAACTCTTAAGTTTTAGCTATAAAACATTTACCTAACAATCCTCAGAATACAGGATACTAAAATAGTATTTAACAAAGAAAATTCCTTGGGAAGACATACAGAGGGAAACAATTTCTAATACATTTGGAAAACACTAGGTTACACAAGTTGAAATGGTTACATAAGCTTAATTATTATTAAACACTAATAAATAATGTTATTACTGAGCATCTAAGTTAGTAACATGAATGGTACTTTTATAATAAAGTAAGATAATTTGTGATGTCTTCCAAAGACCCAAAAACACTCTGAAGAAACTGTTTGACCATATTACTTATTACCTTCCTGTTTGACATCTTTCCACTGGAGTCACATACATTTTCCAGGAGTCCAAGGTTTCCCTCTGCATCAGTATAAGATATCTGACCACAAGTAGGATGCCAGGCCAGGCCACAGATTGCATAACCTTTCTCATGTTTCACCCTAAAAACAAATAAAGTGGGCTCTTAAAAACTGTCAAGAAAACATAAACTATACAGTTATTTAGATAATTTTAATTAGAAAGGGTGAAATGACTTTTTACAATCTAAAAGCTACTATCTTCATTCTCATTAATAATTAAAACTTTAAAATGTTTCAAAATAAAACAAAATATAGAAATGAATAAAAGCAACATGTACTGAATCATACCTTTCCATGCAGTCTTTGGTTTCCACATTCCAAACTATAATTAAACCATTAATACTACCTGCAGCTAAGTATTGCCCACAGGGAGACCAGGTTACTATATTGAGGGTCTATAAAAAAAAGAGTTAATAAATAAATAACAATTGTATATAACTTGAAACTAAATTATTACTTTATTACCAAATTTAAATTTTTATATTCCTATTCAATATTATTTCTAATTTGACATAGGAATGACAATACCAAGTTTGCTTTTTTTGGTGGGGGGCATCGTGGATTAAACTTAGGGGCACTTAGCCACTGGGCCATATCCCCAGCCCTATTTAGAGACAGGGTCTCAGTGAGTTGCTTAGCACCTCACCATTGCCGAGGCTAGCTTTGAACTCGAGATCCTCCTATCTCATCCTCCAGAGCCACTGGGATTACAGATGTGCTCCACAGCACCCAGCTTCAAGTTTGTTTATTTTCAAACTTTCTTTTTCAATAATATTCAACTATTGCTAGCAGGTATTACTTTGTTTATCATGAACAAACTATACTACAACAATTTTAAAAGTAAAATCTAAAAAATTATTACATTAAAAAAACAAAATACCAAGTATCTTCTTAGCATTCACCATCAAGATAAGGAAACTAGTACCTGAAGTAAATCTTATAAGCCATTGCTGAACTATTGGGGCCTATGCTTCCTTCATTGCAAAATATTTGTATGCATGCATGTAAGAAAGAGCGAGAGAGAATATAGATCAATAACCTTCCTTGCTCTAAAATTTCAGAGACTATGATCACAAGTCTCAATGAAACTCACTTAAAAATAAAAGCCAATCAATGATAATTCAAGAATAACTTGTTATAATTCTCTGCTAGCATTAAATTTAACTTCTTATAAATTAAAAGATTTTCTTATCAAATCTCACAAAGGATAAAGGTAAGATAAGACCTATATATATCCAGTTATTGATAGAATGAAAAAAGTTCAGGGGATAGAAGGTAGACATAAGACACAGCAGACTGTAGCTGTTCTTCACTTCCAATATTTAACTGCTACTGTATTTTGTGAAGTTTTCATTAAAAACTCTCTGTAGCCTACTTAGAATGTCATTTACAAAACCTACCTGAGAGATGAAAATGTCTGAAAGATCAAATTGATTATTCCAAGTGTCTCTTCTATATAATTTTACAGATTTTTCCACAGGAACTGCCAATAACTATTAGAAAAGATAATTTAAACAAAAGTTTGTATTAAATTCAATGTGAAGGGGAGAAAAAAGGCATATAATTCATCCAGATAAATTTATAAGGTGTATAAGGAAATTTATTCAATCCCCAGTACCAGGGGTAAAGTTCATGGGACACCAAAGGGTATGCTAAAAGTCTCCCTCCTGTCCCTAAATTCTATTTCTACACCTCAATGGCAATTAAGCATAGATTACACAAGAATGTGTACATAATATTTAAGTATATATATAAATATTTAAATATATACACACACTCCCACTCTTTTTAGTTAGTAAACATTTAAATATATACACACACTCCCACTCTTTTTAGTTAGTAAACATTTAAATATATACACACACTCCCACTCTTTTTAGTTAGTAAACAGTAGCATCATACATATACCTACTATTCTACAGCTTGATGTGTTTTACTTAATATATCTTAAAGATTATTCCATTCAAGGACATAAAGATATACCTCATTCTTTTTTTTTTAAATTTTAATATTTATTTATTTTTTAGATTTCGGCGGACACAACATCTTTGTTTGTATGTGGTGCTGAGGATCGAACCCGGGCCGCATGCATGCCAGGCAAGCACGCTACCGCTTGAGCCACATCCCCAGCCCCAAGATATACCTCATTCTAACAATTAGAGAAACTCACTTTCAGAACTACCATAATTGATTTTACCAATTCTTATAAATAAACATTCAGAATGTTTCCAATCTTCTATTATTAACAACAGTGGTGCAACATTTTTTTAATACATATTTTTAGTGCATGCTATGAACATGCTCATAATATATGCACTTAGAATTATTAAGTCATCTATTCTGATAAAAACTACTGAATGTTCTTCCACACTGTATCCAATTAAATTTTTCACTTTTGACCATCTCTGATAAATAAAAATAATGTAACCCATTATTTTAATTAGTACTTCTGATAGTATTAAAGGCTGCATATATTTTTAACTTTAAAACCTATCTGTGGGCTGGGGTTGTGGCTCAGAGGTAGAGCATTTGCCTCACATGTGTGAGGCACTGGGATCGATTCTCAGCACCACATGTAAATAAATAAATAAAATAAAGGTCCATCAACAACTAAAAAATTATTAAAAAACAAAACAAAACAACAAAAAACTATCTGTATGGGGTTGGGAGTGTAGCTCAGTGGTACAGTGCTTGCCTAGCCAACCTGAGGTCCTGGGTTCAATCCCTAGTACCCATCTTTACTAAACACTAAATTCTCACATATACTTTTGTCTATTTCTGTTTAATAGGTATGTGACTACTCATGAGTCAATAATGAACTTCTAATTCTCATAGTATGTTTTAATATCTGATTGGTTTAGAAGCTTTCATCACTTTTCTTTTCAATGATTTACTTTCCACATGGACTTGAAAATAAACTGTCTTATCCTGCCAAACACCTGACTGATATTTTATATTTGAATGCTGTCAAAATTGTGAATTAATTTAGGGAGGAACTGACATCTTTATGTATATAAAGAATTCCCTTCTAAGAATAGGATTTGTTTTCTCTGCTCTTAAAAGCATGTCGAAGTTTTCTTTACATACATATTTCACATTTCATGGTATTTTAACCTGGCTACTTTATCATTTTTGGTTTAACAGTAAAGGAACTACTTACTTTCATTATGTTTTCTAAGTGGCTACTGTTTGTATAAAAGACAGCTATTGATTTTTATATTAATTATGCTTCCAGTTACCTTACTGAATTTTCCTTCTTCTTCCTCTTTCTTTTTTTCCCACCAGTGCTGACGACTGAACCCAGGGCTCCTTGTACACACCAGGGAAGTGCTCTACCACTGAATTGTCCCTGGCCCCTGAATCTTTTTTTTTTTTTTTTTAATTTTTTATTGTGGGTTGTTCAAAACATTACAAATTTCTTGACATATCATATTCCACACTTTGATTCAAGTGGGTTATGAACTCCCACCTTCACCCCATACACAGCTTGCAGAATCACATCGGTTACACATCCATTGATTTACAAATTGCCATACTAGTGTCTGTTGTGCTCCGCTGCCTTTCCCATCATCCACTCTCCCCCCTCCCCATCTCTCCCCTCCCCTCCCCTCTCTCTACCTCCTCCACTGTATAACCCTGAGGGTCTCCTTCCATTACCATGCAATTTCCCTTCACTCTCCCATTCCCTCCCACCTCTCATCCCTGTTAAATGTTAATCTTCTTCTCCTGCTCTTCATCCCTACTCTGTTCTTAGTTACTCTCCTTATATCAAAGAAGACATTTGGCATTTATTTTTTAGGGATTGGCTAGCTTCACTTAGCATAATCTGCTCTAATGCCATCCATTTCCCTGTAAATTCTATGATTTTGTCATTTTTTAATGCAGAGTAATACTCCATTGTGTATAGATGCCACATTTTTTTTATCCATTCGTCTATTGAAGGGCATCTAGGTTGGTTCCACAGTCTTGCTATTGTGAATTGTGCTGCTATGAACATCGATGTAGCAGTGTCCCTGTAGCATGCTCTTTTTAGGTCTTTAGGGAATAGACCAAGAAGGGGAATAGCTGGGTCAAATGGTGGCTCCATTCCCAGCTTTCCAAGAAATCTCCATACTGCTTTCCAAATTGGATGCACCAATTTGCAGTCCCACCAGCAATGTACAAGTGTACCCTTTTCCCCACATCCTCGCCAGCACTTGTTGTTGTTTGACTTCTTAATGGCTGCCAATCTTACTGGAGTGAGATGGTATCTTAGGGTGGTTTTGATTTGCATTTCTCTGACAGCTAGAGATGTTGAGCATTTTTTCATGTACTTGTTGACTGACTGTATGTCCTCCTCTGAGAAGTGTCTGTTCAGGTCCTTGGCCCATTTGTTGATTGGGTTGTTTGTTCTCTTATTGTCTAATTTTTTGAGTTCTTTGTATACTCTGGATATTAGGGCTCTATCTGAAGTGTGAGGAGTAAAGATTTGTTCCCAGGGTGTAGGCTCCCTGTTTACCTCTCTTATTGTTTCTTTTGCTGAGAAAAAACTTTTTAGTTTGATTAAGTCCCATTTGTTGATTCTAGTTATTAACTTTTGTGCTATGGGTGTCCTATTGAGGAATTTGGAGCCCGACCCCACCGACTGTAGATCGTAGCCAACTTTTTATTCTATCAGACGGCGCGTCTCTGATTTGATATCAAGCTCCTTGATCCATTTTGAATTCACTTTTGTGCATGGCGAGAGAAAGGGATTCAGTTTCATTTTGTTGCATATGGATTTCCAGTTTTCCCAGCACCATTTGTTGAAGATGCTATCCTTCCTCCATTGCATGTTTTTAGCCCCTTTATCAAATATAAGAAAGTTGTAGTTTTGTGGATTGGTTTCTGTGTCCTCTATTCTGTACCATTGGTCCACCCGCCTGTTTTGGTACCAGTACCATGCTGTTTTTGTTACTATTGCTCTGTAGTATAGTTTGAAGTCTGGTATCGCTATACCGCCTGATTCACACTTCCTGCTTAGCATTGTTTTTGCTATTCTGGGTCTTTTATTTTTCCATATGAATTTCATGATTGCTTTCTCTATTTCTACAAGAAATGCCGTTGGGATTTTGATTGGCATTGCATTAAACCTATAGAGAACTTTGGGTAATATCGCCATTTTGATGATGTTAGTTCTGCCTATCCATGAACAGGGTATATTTTTCCATCTTCTAAGATCTTCTTCTATTTCTCTCTTTAGGGTTCTGTAGTTTTCATTGTATAAGTCTTTCACCTCTTTTGTTAGGTTGATTCCCAAGTATTTTATTTTTTTTGAAGATATTTTGAATGGAGTGGTTGTCCTCATTTCCATTTCAGAGGATTTGTCACTGATATACAGGAATGCCTTTGATTTATGCGTGTTGATTTTATAACCTGCCACTTTGCTGAATTCATTTATTAGCTCTAATAGTTTCTTTGTAGAGCCTTTTGGGTCTGCTAGGTATAGAATCATATCATCTGCAAATAGTGATAATTTAAGTTCTTCTTTTCCTATTTTTATGCCTTTAATTTCTTTCGTCTGTCTAATTGCTCTGGCCAATGTTTCGAGAACTATGTTGAACAGAAGTGGAGAGAGAGGGCATCCCTGTCTTGTTCCAGATTTTAGAGGGAATGCCTTCAGTTTTTCTCCATTCAGAATAATGCTAGCCTGAGGCTTAGCATAGATTGCTTTTACAATATTGAGGTATGTTCCTGTTATCCCTAGTTTTTCTAGAGTTTTGAACATAAAGGGATGCTGTACTTTCTCGAATGCTTTTTCCGCATCTATCGAGATGATCATATGGTTCTTATTTTTAAGTCTATTGATGTGGTGAATAACATTTATTGATTTCCGTATATTGAACCAGCCTTGCATCCCAGGGATGAATCCTACTTGATCATGGTGTACAATTTTTTTGATATGTTTTTGTATCCGAGTGGCCAGAATTTTATTGAGGATTTTTGCATCTAGATTCATTAGAGATATTGGTCTGTAGTTTTCTTTCTTTGAAGTGTCTTTGTCTGGTTTAGGTATCAGGGTGATGTTGGCCTCATAGAATGAATTTGGAAGTTCTCCCTCTTTTTCTATTTCTTGAAGTAGCTAGAAAAGTATTGGTATTAGTTCTTCTTTAAAGGTTTTGTAAAATTCTGCTGTATACCCATCCGGACCTGGGCTTTTCTTAGTTGGTAGTCTTTTTATGGTTTCTTCTATTTCCTCAATTGATATTGGTCTGTTTAGGTTTTCTATATCCTCCTGACTCAATCTGGGCAGATCATATGACTTAAGAAATTTATCTATGCCTTCACTATCTTCTAATTTGTTGGAGTATAAGGATTCAAAATAGTTTTTGATTATCTTCTGTATTTCTGAAGTGTCTGTTGTGATATTGCCTTTTTCATCCCGTATGCTAGTAATTTGAGTTCTCTCTCTTCTTCTCTTCGCTAGCATGGCTAAGGGTCTGTCGATTTTGTTTATTTTTTCAAAGAACCAACTTTTAGTTTTGTCAATTTTTTCAATTGTTTCTTTTGTTTCAATTTCATTAATTTCAGCTCTGATTTTAATTATTTCTTGCCTTCTACTTCTTTTGCTGTTGTTTTGCTCTTCTTTTTCAAGGATTTTGAGGTGAAGTATGAGATCAGTTATTTGTTGGTTTTTTCTTTTTTTAAGGAATGAACTCCAAGCAATGAATTTTCCTCTTAGAACTGCTTTCAATGTGTCCCATAGATTCCGATATGTTGTGTCTGTGTTTTCATTAATCTCTAAGAATTTTTTAATTTCCTCCTTGATGTCTTCTATAACCCATTGATCATTCAGTAACCTATTGTTCATTCTCCAAGTGATGTATGCTTTTTCCTTCCTTCTTTTATCGTTGATTTTCAGTTTCATTCCATTATGATCAGATAAGATGCATGGTATTATCTCTACTCCTTTATATTGTCTAAGAGTTGCCCTGTGACATAATATATGATCTATTTTAGAGAAGGATCCATGTGCTGCTGAGAAAAAAGTGTAACTGCTTGATGTTGGGTGGTATACTCTATATATGTCAATTAGGTCTAGGTTATTAATAGTGTTATTGAGTTCTATAGTTTCCTTATTCAACTTTTGTTTGGAAGATCTGTCCAGTGGCGAGAGAGGTGTGTTGAAGTCTCCCATGATTATGGTATGGTGGTCTATTAGACTCTTGAACTTGAGAAGAGTTTGTTTGATGAACATAGCTGCACCATTGTTTGGGGCATAAATATTTATGATTGTTATGTCTTGTTGGTGTATGGTTCCCTTAAGCAGTATGTAGTGTCCCTCTTTATCTCTTTTGATTAACTTTGGCTTGAAATCTATTTTATTTGATATGAGTATGGACACTCCTGCTTGTTTCCGAAGTCCATATGAGTGATATGATTTTTCCCAACCTTTCACCTTCAGCCTATGTATGTCTTTTCCTATCAAATGTGTCTCCTGTAGGCAGCATATTGTTGGGTCTTGTTTTGTGATCCATTCTACTAGCCTGTGTCTCTTAATTGGTGAGTTTAAGCCATTAACATTTAGGGTTATTATTGAGATATGGGTTGTTCTTCCAGCCATATTTGTTTATTTATGTTACTAAACATGGTTTGTTTTCCTCTTTGATTATTTCCCCCCCCCTTTACTGTCCTACCTCCCACTGTTGGTTTTCATTGTTATTTTCCATTTCCTCTTCCTGTAATGCTTTGGCGAGGATGTTTTGAAGAGATGGTTTTCTAGCTGCGAATTCTTTAAACTTTTGTTTATCGTGGAAGGTTTTAATTTCATCCTCCATCCTGAAGCTTAATTTCGCTGGATACACAATTCTTGGTTGGAACCCATTTTCTTTCAGTGTTTGAAATATGTTATTCCAGGATCTTCTAGCTTTCAGAGTCTGTGTTGAAAGATCAGCTGTTATCCTGATTGATTTACCCCTAAATGTAATCTGCTTCCTTTCTCTTGTAGCTTTTAAAATTCTCTCCTTATTCTGTATGTTGGGCATCTTCATTATAATGTGTCTAGGTGTGGATCTCTTATGATTTTGCACATTCGGCGTCCTGTAGGCTTCTAGGATTTGGGATTCTGTCTCATTCTTCAAGTCTGGGAAGTTTTCTTGTATTATTTCATTGAATAGACTGCTCATTCCTTTGGTTTGGAGCTCTGTACCTTCCTGTATCCCAATGAGTCTTAAGTTTGGTCTCTTAATGTTATCCCATATTTCTTGGATGTTCTGCTCATGGTTTCTTAACAGTCTTGCTGAGCTGTCTATGTTCTTTTCCAGTTGAAATACTTTGTCTTCATTGTCTGATGTTCTATCTTGTAAGTGTTCTACTCTGCTGGTAGTATTCTCCATTGAGTTTTTAAGTTGGTTTATTGCTTCCTGCATTTCTAGGATTTCTGTTTGTTTGTTTTTTATAACCTCTATCTCCCTGTATAGTTGATCCTTTGCTTCCTGGATTTGTTTGCGTAATTTGTTGTCGAAGTGATCTTTCATTGTCTGATTTTGCTGTTTAATGTCTTCCTTGATACTCCAGATCATCTGAAGCATGTATATCCTGAATTCTTTATCTGACATTCCATCTGCTGCAGCTGTTACCTCTTCTAAAGTTGCGTTGACCTGCATTGCTTGTGGTCCTTTCTTTCCTTGTCTTTTCATACTGCTTGCGTATCTTTCCTGCAGGTGCGGGCGGCGGCTCTGCTCTCTCCTTATTCCAATTGGGGTGTCGTGGCTACCACGCCGGCAGGTCACTGGGCCTGTTCTGGGAGCTGGCGGCGGCTCTGTTCTGCCCCTACTCCGATTGGGGTGACGAGTGTACCACGCCGGCAGGCCACCGGGCCTGATCCGCCAGTCGGTTGCAGGTTTGCCTACCCTGCAGGCGCGGGAGGCGGCTCTACTCTGCCCCTACTCCAAATGGGGTGACGTGTCTGTCGTACCGGCAGGCCACTGGGCCTGTCCCGCTGGTCAGTCGCATATCTGCCCGCCTTTCGGGCACGGGTGGAGTCTCTGCTCTGCCCCTACTCCAATTGGGGTGTCGTGACTACCCCGCCTGCAGGACGCTGGGCCTGTTCCTGGCACGGGCGGCGACTCTGCTCTGCCACTACTCCAATTAGGGTGGTGTTTGTACCACGCCGGCAGGCTCCTGGGCCTGATCCGCCGGTCTGTTGTAGGTCTGCCTACCTTGGAGGCGCGGGCGGCGGATCTGCCCTGCCCCTCCTACCACACCTGCGGACCCCTGGGCCTGATCTGCAGGTTGATCACTGGTCTGCTCACCCTGCGGGCACGGGTGGCGGTTCCGCTCCGCCCCCACTCCAATTGGGGTCACGTGACCACCACACCGGCAGGGCCTGATCTGGGCGTGGCAGAAGGATCTGCTCTGCCCCTACTCCAGTTGGGGTGATGTGTGTACCACACTGGCAGGCCACTGGGCCTGACCCACCAGGCTGTCACAGGTCTGTTTACCTTGCCAGCGCGAACGGCGGCTCTGCCCTGCCCCTCCTACCACGCCCATGTACCACTGGGTCGCGGGTCTGCCCACCTTGCGGGTGCGGGTGGCGGCTCCGCTCCGCCCCCTCTCCAATTGGGGTCACGCGGTCACCACGCTGGTGAGCCGCTGGGCCTGCTCCGGGCGCTGGCGTTGGCCCGGCTCCTCCCCTCTGGCTCGACGACAAATTGAGGAGACTCGGGTGACTGTGCCTCACCCCCCCTACCAGGAGACCAACTGCTTATGTCACCACTGGTATTGATGAAGTTCTCTCCTCCGCCGCTTTCTGCTGACATCAGATCTCTGCCATGTTGGTATCCTATGCGAATGGCAGCATTTCGTTCCCCTTGCCAGGCAACCAAAGCAACGGGTGAGTCCTGACCGGCCCTCAGCAGGACCCGGACCGAGAAGCAGTTTCCGCGGCTCCTAGCCCCGGGCCAGGGAAGTTCCGGGAGCCGGAACTCGGCCGCTCCGTGCTCTGTGTAAGCTCCTATAAGTGTAAGCTCCAAGAAGCAGTCTCCGCGGGCTCAGTTCCGGGAGCCGGAATTCGGCTGCTTAGTGCTTGGTGTATGCTCTGATAGGCGCAGGGTCCAAGAAGCAGCCTCCGCAGCCCTGGGCCAGGGCGGTTCCAGGACGGTTCCGGGAGCCGGAACTCGGCCGCCCCGCGCTCGGTGTTCGCTCCGATAGGATCAGGTTCTAAGAAGCACCCAGGCGCTGAACCCTAGCAATCTGTCTGCAAGCCGCAGGCGAATTGCAGCCTGAAATTACCTGATCTATGGCTGAATGAGCTGCGGTCAGTCAAAAACAGGGAAGGTGACGTCAGTTTACCAACATGGTGGCTTCTGGCCTCCTCTGTGGTCTGACCGGTGTGGAGAACCGAGATGGACCGCTTCCTTCCCCCGTCTCAAACCCAGAATTCAGCCCTGAGTACGGTGCTTGCGCGGCTGGCAGAAACTGCAGCGCTGTAACCCTGCGTCTCTATCCCAGCGCGCTCTGCAGACTCTAGCCGCGGGGCGATTTGCTGAATAAGCAGTGTTACCCTCCGTGCGACAAACCTCTCGCGTTTGAGTCCCCGTAGCCGATCCTCGTGCGATGGAAATCCTTCCTCCAGGTTCCGGAGCACCCCACTATTGCTGGAAATTCCTAACAAGATATCCTTTAGCCGTCCTGACTTGTCATACTCCCACACAGTGAAGCAGCACACGGGGGCAATGCACTCCCCTCGCCGCCATCTTCCTTCTCCCTGAATCTTATTATTAGAAAGTTTTCACTCTCAGTTGATTTTTCTTGGGATTTCCTCATACACAAGCATCTCATTTAAAAAAAACAAACATTGTCTTTCTTTCTTTCAAACTTCTCTTAACATTTTGTTGTCTGTGTCAGTATCTCCAAAACATTAAATACTACCAATAAGAGTGGACATAACAAGACTGTTTCTATAGTTCTTCCATTAAACAGAATGTAAAGAAAAATATGCAATTAATTCAGGCAAAACATATACTTCAAAAACAAGCTCCAAAAAATTTAAATATTTCTTAAAGTATTTCAATATTTTTTGACATATGGCTCAAAAATCTACAATCCAAATGAAACAGTTGAAATTTAAAAAACTATTCTTACATTGAAAGTTGACAAGGATCAAAAGAAATGATTCAAAAACTGAAAAATAAAAGTAATTTACCTTCCCATTTTTTGGCTGCCAAGCAAGTCTGCAGATGGATTTTGCATTTATCATATCGTTGCATTTTTGTAGGAGTGGCCAACTAATAGCACATGTCTGAGTTTAGAAAAAAGAAAATTTATTTCCCCAAAATATATGCAGAACTGAGTATAACTAATAGGTGGCTTCTTCAAATTGATATATATTTCAAAAAACAAAGCAACTTAATGAACTTTAATTCAATTATAATGCCCCATTAACCTATACTGTTTTAAGATCTTCAGAGGTATGAAGAGTACAAATTTTTTAAATTAGTATTTTCTATGTCTAATGAGTAAATAACATACTGAATGAATAAACACACATACACAAGTCCTCAGTATGCTAAAATCTTAATGTGTCTCAAAGAATAAATAAAATTTGAAATGTCTACCCTAAAATATCAAGGTGTTAAAGTCAGACCAATGGGAAGAAACTAAGGCATACCTATTGGGAATATTTTTCCCATTAGCCATATGTTATTTCTAGAAATGTCAAGTCCACTTTGATTGTTTAAGGAAAACTTAACTGTTCCTTCTGCCAATTTGGAAAGCATTTTTCATAAGGCCTTTAAAGCCTTTATCAGGCTACGTTGGAATAAGTTGTACATGTGACTCTTCAAATCAAGCATAGCCCATGCATTATTTATTTTTGTCTCCCCAACTTCTAATACTAGGCGCAACACATGGTATTATCTATAAAAATATGATGATTAAATCTTTTTTATTTACAAAGCTTTAAAGTGAAATATAAACTGTAATTCCCCTTGTGATTGACAACAAAACAATAAATCTTTAACATATATATTCATTTTACATTAGAATATTCTGAAACTTGATCACAAAAACAATACTTAATGCTACTTAAAGAAACAACTACAGGAGCTGGGGTTGTGGTAGAACACTTGCCTAGCCCATGAGAGGCACTGGGTTCAATCCTCAGCACCACATAAAAACAAACAAACAAACAAATAAATAAAGGTACTGTGTCCATTAAAAAACAAACAAATAAACAAACAGTCGAGCCGGGGTTGTGGCTCAGTGGTAGGGCACTTGCCTAGCATGTGTGAGGCACTGGGTTTGAATCTCAGCATCACATATTAAGTAAATAAAAGGTCCATAGGCAACCAAAAGAAAATTTTTTTAAAAAGAAATAACTACAGTTGGCTGTGGTGGTACATGCCTCTAATCCAGCAACTTAAGAGGCTATAAATTTGAGGTCTCAACAACTTAGCATGACCCTGCCTCAAAACGTTGGGGCAGGAGACAAACAATAAAGAAAAATAACTACTAATTTGGCCCAACAATACAATATGTAATACCCACATTATAGAAATGGTCCAAAAGTTTTAAATTCAAATTGATGAGTTTACCTGATCTGAAATTTCCCAAACTCTGACAGATCCATCACAACTAGCTGATGCCTGCAAGGATAAACAAGATTTCTTGTTGTAGCCAGAATATTACATGAAACTGATTCAACTCATTCACTCAAATGACTTTTTTGCCAACTGGGTGAAATTTTCCACTAATTTTAAACACATTCAAGAAAGCCACAAAAAGAGAGGAAGGAAAATTAATTACCAGGAAGACACCCTTAGGGTCAAAAGAAAGACTTAAGACAGGGGCATCATGTCCTCGAAATGTCTTCTGTTGGCTGCTATCCATCACATCCACAATTTTGATGAGAAAATCACTATACACAACAGAATAATGCACATGAGTAAATGCCAATACAAACCCTCTCCTAAAAGTTATACTCAAATATTTCAAAATCACAAGAGTGAATGCTGTATTTTCTGTACTGCAACTTGCAAAATCTGACAGCCAAATATAATTTACCTTTTAGTTTTGCTCTATAAAGATATCAAGATTTGGGGCTGGGGATGTGGCTCAAGCAGTAGCGCGCTCGCCTGGCATGCGTGGGGCGCTGGGTTTGATCCTTAGCACAACATAAAAATAAAAAATAAAGATGTTGTGCCCACCGAAAACTAAAAAACAAATATTAAAAAATTCTCTCTCAAAAAAAAAAAGATATCAAGATTTCCCATTATGTTAAAATACAAACACTTCCTAAATGGCTCCTTTGTTACATCCTAAGTTTTCATTATTTGCTAATAACAGCCACATGCATTTTAGAAGGTACGATACCTTTACTAAATCTCACAAGTGTAACAATTACATGTTTTCCCTGTGACAAATAAACTTCAAGAGATCTACAGAATTCTGGTTAAAACAGTCCCATTTATACCTAAAATAATTTTTTAAAATTTGTTTCAAGCTATCTCCTTTCTCTAGTCTTTTGCACCATTTACTCAATAGGCTATCTGCAAAGCAATATATGTCAATTCACAAAATACTACAAGTTTGTCTTCAAAAACCTCCACTAAACAGAAGACTTGCACATAAAAGTAAAATAACAATAAAAAACAATAAGCTAACAGGGTCCTGGAAATATCAGCCTAAAACAAATGAGGCTTTTCTTCTAACATTATTTCCTTTCTCTGATGTCAAAGAGTCTTACCTTGATCCAGCAGCAATTTTAGTGCCATCCTCATTAAAGACCACATGATTTGCATTTGTAGTGAAGCGAGTCAATATACCATCTGGAACTCCTTCAGGAAATGTGTGAACTTGAACAGTATTATTAGAAACTGCAGTGACCAATTTTCCATTCTGAAAAAAAAATAAAGGTAAGAAACACCGACATAACAAATTCAAATCAGTTGGGAATGTCTTCATAGATAAAAATCCTGTGAAAGGCAAAAACTTAATAATTATAGTTTACATCAAGAGAAAAATTACCACTCAATGTTCAACTTCCCTGAAATGTATATTAGTAAATTTTGTATTCTGTAAGAAACATTTCAGTAGTATTTTTATGGACCCCAAATGTCATAAAAAAGAAGGAGACTCCAGAACTTTTTGGAAAATACACAATTTCAATGAGGAAAGAGCACATCAGAAGGCACAGCCACAATGGCCACTATAGAGGTGCCCTATGTTTCCATAATAAATTCATTGTATCTTTCTGGAGTGGGATAAAATCTAAATGCTGAATCCATCGGAGAGATTAGAATGATGTGTCTACAAGTCAGAGAACACCAAGGACTATCACAATCTTCGGAACAGAAGACAAGCATGGAATGGATACTCCCTTGGAGCCTGGGAAGAACCAAGCCTACTGACATGACACCTTGATTTCAGTCATCTTGCTTCCAGAACTGTTGGGCAATAATGTCCTAATGTTTTAAGACAGTAAGTTTGTGGCAATTTGTTACAACGCACTACAAACTAATACAAAAGTTCTTACTTTTTTCTTCCTTACAGTCTTTTTCATACACAAAAGCAACACATGCTTACTATAGGAGAAAAAAATAGGAAGGTGACATGAGGAAAGAACGAGTTTCCTTACTCTTTTAAAGTAACTGCCACTAACATCCTGGTGTTTTTAGTATTTTTCTATACTCATGAAAATACAGTAATAATAATATATGTGTGTATATATGTGTGCATATACATATAATTTTAGCAAACAACACTATACTATAAAATGTTCTGCAACTTTCTCATTTTCAACTTCTGGCAAAATCTTTTTCAGATGGGGGCATATAAAACTATATCTTTTCTTTCTTTAGTGGTTGCACTATATTCCATTGTATAGCTTTATCAAATGTATTAACCAACTTCTTGATTAATGGAAATATTAATTTTTTATCTGTTGCTATTTTGAAAGTTGATATTTCAAAAATAACAAGTGTTTTTTACTAATCCTTGTCCACATAAAGTATATATTTTCCTAGAAAACTAATCAGAAATGACTGTGAATATTTTAATTTTAATATAGTATCAATTTAAGTATTCTAATTTTGATACAGTGTTATCAATTTCTGTTTTTAAAAAGTGTCTTATTGCCAGCTCCCTGGCTCATGACTGTAATCCCAGTAGCTAGGGAGATTTAGGCAGGAGGATTGCAAATTCAAAGCCAGGTTTGGCAACCTGAGCAACTCAGTGAGGTCCTGTCTCAAAATAAAAAATAAACCTATAATCCCAATGGCTTGAGAGGCTGAGGAAAGAGGATTGCAAGTTCAAAGCCAGCCTCAGCAACTCAGTAAGGCCCTAAACAATTTAGTGAAACCCTGTCCCTAAATAAAACATGAAAAAGGGCCCAATGGTTAAGTGCCCCTGAGTTCAATTCCCAATACCAAACAAACCAACTAACTGGCTGGGGGGTTGAGTACCCAAGGGTTCAATCTCCAGTACCAAAAAAAAAAAAAAAAAAAAAAAAGCCAGTCCTGATGGCACATGCCTGTAATCCCAATGACTTAGGATACTGAGACGGCATCAACCCAAGTTCAACATCAGCCTTTCAGCAACTTAATGAAAACCTGTTTGTATGGGGATACAAAGAGGGCATGGGAGGTACCAGAGATTGTAGCTCAAGGGTAAAACATTCCCAGATTCTATCACCTTTAAAAGTACTGCAAAAATTTTTAAAATTGAACAATTAAAGTTTTTTACTTATATTTCCAGAAACTAAATATAGTCATACTTCTTTAAGCCTTCACTGTTACTGGGGATTAGCAATATATTTTATCCTTGCCAATCTTTTCTTTTTTGGGGGCACCAGATATTGAATCCAGAGGGACTTAAACACTAAGCCTCATCCCTAACACTTTTTATTTCAGTTTTTTATTTGGAGATATGGTCTCACTAAGCTGCTTAGGGCCTCACTAAGTTTCTGAGGTTGGCTTTGAGCTTGTGATACTGCTGCCTCAGCCTCCCAAATTGCTGGTATTACAGGCATGCACCACCATGCCCAGCTTCCTTGCTGATCTTATAGGCGGGGGAAAAACCTGACTGTTTAATTTGCACTTCTTTGCTTATTAATGACAGCTCATATTTAATGTACATTGGTCATTTATATTTATTCTTATGGAATGTATCTTCTATTATATATGACCTATTAAAAAGAATATATAAAATGTCTTAAGACCATCTCCTCTACTTTAATGAGCCTGAGTTTGGAAAGATATTTTTCTTTTACCCAAACACAATACACCCAAATTAAAATTCATCACAATAAAAATTTTAGTGGTTTTTAGATTCTTAATTTTCTGAAAACATGTCTTCACTCTCTTAGTAATCTATATCACATTCTCTTATTTATCTCACACAAGACATTGGAAACATGTGAAATGTGCATATATTGAAAGTTAGTGAAACATTACTATTTTCTTTAATAACTTCTTAAGTTATCTGAGTTAGTGTCTGAATCCATTTTGTGCTGCTATAACAATATCACAGACTGGTAATTTATAATGAACAGAAATTCACTGGCTCATAATTTTGGAAGCTGAGAAGTCCAAAATCAAGAGATTTGCATCTAGTCAAATTATATTATTACACTGTGTGCATGTATGAACATGTAACAAATCCCATCATTATGTACAACCATAGTGCACTAATAAAAAATGTGGGAAAAAAAAAGGGAGATTCGCATTCAGTGAGTGCCTTCTTGATGTGTCATCCCATGACAGAAGAGCAAAGAGAGAGCAAGTTAAGAGGACTCAACTCACCTTTTAAAATTAACTCAGTTCTGCAATGACAAATTCACTCCCACAGTAATAGTATTGAACTATTCATGAGGGCAGAGTCCTTGTATCCTAATCATCTTTCATTAGGCCCCACAACCAACTAATGTGGTGTTGGGGAGTAAGTTTGCAACATAAGCTTTCTGAGGGACAATCAAATCATAGCAGTAAGCCAAAAATCCCATTGATGTTCCTCTCAAATAATAAAAGGGAACACTTTAACTTTTCTTAAAAGCGCAATTCTCTTGTAAATATCTTAATTTGTTCATCATTAATACCCATTAATCACCTTCAAAAAACCATTCCCATTTTACCCTTAAAATTTTGGGGCATTTTGTGGCATTATTATGCATCTTTAAACATAACTTCATAAGAGAAAAAAACAAAAAGGTTCATCAGAGAAAAAAACAAAAAGGTTCATCTACATTTAAAACTTCTATAAAAAAGATTTTCACTCAAGCAGAACTATCACATGCCAGTATCATTCACATCAGTTGATGTGACTGTTTACTACCTTCAAAGCACATGAATATGCCTTTTCTCCAACATTAATGGACTTAGGATCATCATCATCCAAGTCTTCCCAAATTCTCACATCACCATCACTTCCACAAGTCACAATACAACTGTAAAGGAAACACATAGTAAAAAGTCACCCAGTTTCAGGCATATTAATTTTTTTTAATGGTACCTTTCTATGTAATTTAAATAAAATTAAGGTATTAGCCAATATTTCCCCCCATTTTATACAAACAAACCTCAATAATAAACATTGATAACTTCCCATTCTATAAAAGGAAGGTGAGTTTAATATTCTCCACAGTTCTTCCTTGGCATAAAATTATTCCTTTTGCCATAACATTAAAAAAAAAAAAAAAAAAAAAAAAAAAGATGAGTGTACAATCTCTGCAACAACAGGGACCATTTATCTTGTTCATTATTGTATCTCCAGCACCAAGCAGTCTCTGACACAAAAAATCTTTAATAATAAATGTTTACTGAATGAATAAATGGATTAATATATGAGTTGTTATCCAAAGGTGATTATCCCAATGGCTACCTGTATCTTGTTTTTTGTTTGTCTTTGCAGTGCTGGAAATGGAATTTGGGGTTTTACACATGCTAGGCAAGCACTACACAGCTGAAGTACACCCCTGCCTCATAAGTCATTTTAAATCTCTAATCTTCCCAGTGCTTTTATTTTTCCAATGTATGTCCTACCTGGAAATACAAAAAGTAAACAAAATTAAAGTAGATATAATTTTGATTATAAAATTAATATGTGGCAAAAAAAGAAGCCATATAAAAAACTGCAAATTTCAGAAGATCAATTCCTACAGAAAAATGGTGTTGAGGAGTCTAATATCACGTGATTTAGGCAAGTAATAAATTTTCTGTTCTTTTTCCCAGAGAGAGAGACAGAGAAGAGGCAATTATATTGGAAAGTCAAAAGGACAAGTAGGTTACCCAAAAGGGAGTGCTCCTGTATATCCTGTCTGCCCCTTATTTTTTACTCAATGAAACAACCTGGAAAACACTCCACATATGCAAAAATCTTAACTTTCAATGGTGTAGATAGACCAAAGTTGGAACTAATCAAATGATGGACATTCAGGCTATTTCTGAACTTCATTTCTTAACAATATTCCTGTATTGAATAGCTCTGGGAATCTATTTTATATTCTTTTTTTTTTTTTTTAATTTTAATATTTATTTATTTTTTTAGTTTTCGGCAGACACAACATCTTTGTTTGTATGTGGTGCTGAGGATCGAACCCGGGCCGCACACATGTCAGGCGAGCGCGCTACCGCTTGAGCCACCTCCCCAGCCCCACTATTTTATATTCTTGCAAATGTACATTCAATGTTCAGTCCTGCAAGAAATATTGCTTTATCAATGGCTATTTTTTTCATAATTTCAAATAATAAAGCCCAATTCACTGGGGGAAAAAAAGGAGGATGTTAAACCAAAAAGAAGTGCGGACTACTGAATTTGGCAAGCTAGCAATATCAAGTGATCTGACAAAATTCACAATGTGAGATGCTGAGAAAATGAAAATATGGGCAAGAATACGGGCTAGCATCTTTCCAACTCCTTTGGAAATAAGATTTTAATTTTTCTCATGGACTAAAAAGTAAAGTCCTAATATCTACACCTAAAAACGTTCTTGGGGCTGGGGATTTGGCTCAAGCTGTAGCGCGCTTGCCTGGCATGCGTGCGGCCTGGGTTCGATCCTTAGCACCACATACAAACAAAGATGTTGTGTCCGCCAAAAACTGAAAAATAAATATTGAAATTAAAAAAAATAATAAAAAAATAAAAACGTTCTTTTTCTCCAAGAAGCTTACCTTCCAGTATCATCAAAACAGACGTCTGTGTGTCCTTCGGTATGTCCATATCTCATCGGCTTCTGTGTTGCAGGCATGTTTTCTTTTCCCTACCCGAAAATGTCTTATAACGATGGTCTATTTTCAAGGCGAGGAAAGCGGGGAGTGGGAGGGAGAAAGAAAGGTTAGTCTCCTCCCGAGCACGCTCTCCACAGCCCGGATTCCTCCACCCAAGCGACGCCAGTGGGTGCAGCAGAAGGTCTGTCACACAACAAGCCGGGAAGGGGACACGCTTCTCCGCTGGCGCTAGCAAGGCGGGCGAGGACTCACTGTGGCGAAGGAGGCTCCGCGCCTGAACCGAGAAAACCCAGCGCCCGCGCAGACCGGCTTCCCGCGCTCTGGCGCGCTCCGCACGCTGCGCCTGCGCGGCCCGCCCACGCCCAGCGCAGGTCTCGACCGAGGTCGCTGATGGTGGCGTCAGCTGCGCGCCGGCCGCGAGGCGAAGAACCGGCTGCTGGGGCAGTAAGCGTGGAAAAGAGGGAGCTGAACGCGGAAGTGGTGGCAGCGCCCGGGTAGCCGGCGGAGGCGGTGACCGCGAAGTCTGAGACGGGAACCGGTCGTCGAGGGGAGGGGCACGGGATTGGCAGGAAGGCAACCGCCTGGTAGGATCTACAGGAGGTGCGAGGAGTGGCTGGGCCTTCTTTTTCCACTTGAACGCGCGCTGAGAGCCACGGCTGTGGTGATGGCGGCAATTACTCTGTCAGCCCCAGTTAAGCTGCCCTTTGGGAGGTGAGTGGGGGAAGGGTGGCCGCTGCCGGGCTTTGCAGCCGGGGTCGTGCTCGTTCCTTCCTGGCTGTCCTCTCATGCGACGGATCCAGCCCTTCCTTGGAACACAGTTAGAGCCAGATCTTTGAATTTCTTCTCTAGAAAAGAATAAAGCGAGACCTTGTCGGTCTTTAATCTTGGCATATTTCGTATCCTCAACGTGTCACTTCTGTAGAGATGAAGAATTAATACTTATTTCTTGAGACTCTATCCAGGTATCCCTTTTAAAAAGTATCTTGTGTTTCCCGATTCATATCCCACTAAAGTTCACTGAAGTGTATGTTTAGATCCAAAAGAAGAGTTAAAATTAAACGACCTATTGTTGTAGGCTTCATTTGATCTTGACCATCAAGTTTATGCTTTTCTTGTCTTCACGTTTTCCGTATTGATAGACTGGTCTGTGATGAATATCTTCACAATGACAATCTCTCGTTAGTATTTATCTTTGAGAATTTTTCTGTTTTTTTTTTTTTGTGGTACCCCCTTTCAATTTCAGTCAGACCAATTTTTTTGTTTACCTCAGTGAGACGTCTTTCCGTTGCAGAGATTTCCCTCTTTTCCAATCTATCTTTTGTGAAAAGTTGAAAGCGCAGTTAGACAAATTGGTGTTCTTGCCTTGGTGGAATCATAAGAGGGGTTGTTTTTAGTACTAGGGCTCCAAATAGGCTTGCTAGACACCGAGGTTTGTGTATGAATGAAAAGGATGAGTGATTGGCTCAAATACAACTTGGGATTTGTGGGGAAATACCTACTGTTCATTTCCCACAAAAGCAAAGGTACCTGAGATGCTGCTCTCTAAGTGAATTAATTTTATTTAGAGATCATTCATTTTTTAGGTAGACTGATTCATAATTTTTTTGTCCAAGTAATTTAATATCATTGGATAGATTGGATGGTTCAAGATGAACTCATAATATTCATCTCTATATTGAATAAATCATGAGATTTCAGAGTAGTACTGTTCAGAGCTCAGCATAAGAAGAATCTGCAAATTGAAACAAGAGTTATAGCTATAAAATGTTTTAAATGGAGTATCTATAAATCTGTCCATTTTTTTGTGCCTTAGCAATCAAGCCATTTGATTCACAGATTAAAGAAAATTCTCCTTTGTAGATTTCACGTGTATGAATGAGATTCAGCTTTAGGATTGAACAATCCAAGGTTTTAATTTCACTCTTGACACATTGTGTGACCTTGAGTATGGTTCTCTTCCCGAATGTCAAATTCCTAGTCTCTGAAATGGAGATGGTACTTAGTAGCACCCAATTAGAGTACATAGGAGATACTAATGGATATATAAAATTCATTATTATTAATGTCTTGTGTTATTAGTGGGATACTTTGGGTGAGTGTGTAGTAGTTTTGTTTAAAGTGGGTTTAAATCATTATCCAGTAAAATGTTTTAAATATTAAAAGATTTGTTCCTGCTTTTGATAGTATGTTTTCATAATTCCATTTGCTTAAGTCAGTGCCTTTAGTGAGTTCATGATTCTTTTGAGGGAAATAGATAACTGAAACAACATATACAAGATGATAGTGCATTTATGAAACCTATGTAAATTAAATACTGTATTAGTAAAATTGTCTGGTAATTTGAGATAATATAGCTGTTTAAAAAGAAACCAATTTAGCTGTGTCACTGATATAGGTGTCAAAATTTTCCAAAGGAATGTGTTCATCCTTATTAACATGCATATCTCATAGGAGTAGGTAACTGAATGAACTGGCTGAAAATTAAGCCAAGGTCAAAAATTCATTTGCCGTGAAGGTTAGTTTGCTATGTTGTCAGGACTTTAGTACCCTTAGGCTTACAGATATTGTTGGTCTCAAGGGCAGTAGGGTGAGAAAACTGATGTATCACCATTCTACCAATGGTAATATTATCTAAATCTTACAATTTATCCAAGAGGATATATTGGTATTGCCTTATGGAAGGAGTTTTAAAAATGCCTTTTCAATAAAATATGTACTCCATGTAAAAATTAGTAATCCTTTGAAAGATAAGACTAGAAGAGAGGATAACCAGAGCTCAGGAGAACAAAGTATTGAAAAAATAACATTGAGGGTAGAAGTCTGAAAATTTCTATCTCTGAATGTATCCTGAAAATTACTAACCTACTTATTTTGGTGGTAGATATTATTGCACATGTATAATCTTAGTAAGGTGTAAAATGGTATGATACAGTAAAAGTCATCTTATTCCAAATACTCAATTCTGGCAAAAACAAACAAACAAAAAAAAAAAACCCACAAACAAACAGTATTTAAATCTCATGTTGACATTACTAGATTGATTTTTACCACTGCAAGACAGATATAATAAATATTTCATAAATGAAAAACTTAAGAGTTGGAAAGATCATGGTTTATTTAAAATCACACACCTAATAGGGGTGGTGGTACATGCCTGTAATTCCAGCATCTAAGGAAGTTGAGGCAGGAAGATTGCAAGTTCAAAGCCAGCCTCAGCTACTTAAAAAAGGCCCTAGCAACTTAAGGAGACCCTTTCTCAAAAATAAAACATAAAAAGGGTTGGGGATGTGGCTCAGCCCCTGGGTTCAATGCCCTGTCAGAGCATAGGTCTTTTATCTAATCCAAGATATTCTACCACAGTCTCTCCAAATAATAGTTATTGCCATAAAACTTAGAATTTAAAAACATCAGGACATAAAAACAAATTTTATTTAAATCTAGAATTCCCTTTTACTAGTTTGTAGGTGAAACTTATTACTCAACCTTAAATGTAAGTAAGCATATGTAATTGTAAAGTAGTGAAAAGAATAATCTATAATCAGTTAAAAAAAAAAAAAAAAAACTTGCTTGTTATTTCAGTACCACTACTATTAGTACTATTAGTTAGCTTACATGAAACTACAAATTTTGGGTCATTAAAAGCTTGTGATTTTCACCCATGTTATTTTTAAGTAATTTAAAAGTGTAAAACTTTTTTAATGGACTATAATATTAGGAGTAATAGAAAAGGTTTTATGACATTTCAGAAATTCTGGAATCTCCTAAATTCAGATTCTTAAGTATGTTTTTGTTCAGATTTTCTGCCTTATATATAGCCTTTATTTCCTCTCTTTCCTTTTTCCTTGATTTTGGCACTTTTATCATGTCATTTTTAGAAAACTTCTGAGTAATAACATTTTCATTAATCTCAGTATGTTTTTTTCATATGTTTTAATCCTGGCAGTTAAAACATGTCCAGATTTTACAATGAGAAAAGTGAAGCCAAATGAGGCAGAGGTTTTTTGTTTGTTTGTTTCCCCTCCCTGCTAGGGATTAAACCCAGGGCTTCACACGTGCCAGGCAAATATCTTACCACTAAATATATTCCCAGCGCTAAATGAGATTTTTTTAAAGGAGGTAACATATTTATGAATGGCAAGGTCTGAGTTTACCTACCATTTTACAATTTAGCAACTCATGCTGTTTCATCTGCACTGTGGTGATTTTAAATATGGGATAGTGAATAACTGTAGGTTCTTAATTTTTATGGGTTTTTAATTTTTTAAAATTTCCTTTTTAGACTAAATTGGTCTTATAGAAAGAAAGAGTTCAGGGAAATAGGCCAAAATGTCAGAATTGCTTACTTCCAGGTACTTGAATTATAACCTTTTTTGCACCTTCTCAACTTCTTTCTGAACATTTCTGGGTTTTTTTGTAGATGGAAACAATACCCTTTGTTTTATTTATTTATTTATTTTTATGTGGTGCTGAGGATTAAACCCAGTGCCTCACACATTAAGCAAGTGCTCTACCACTGAGCTACAACCCCAGCCCTGAACATTGATTTACTACTTACTGAGTATATGTCATTTTTATAATTAAAAATTACAAATTTTTAAGGGAAAAAATACATCTTTCCAATTTATTCCATAAAATGTTTTAGTAGTACAACTTTTATATTCGGCTTTCTAAGATACTATTGTCCTTCTACTTTTAGAAGTCCATGTACTGCCAGCTCTTAGTTTTCTACTTTCTTCATTCCACATTAACCTTGTTTAACAATAGGTTACTAGACATTTCAACTTATTCTTAGTAAGCTCGGGAAACATACATTTGTTTTAATAATTTCCCCAAAATTTGTTCCACAAAAAATGTTTTTGGAGAGTTAAATATAGGAAACCTTGGCATAAACAGGTTTCTTTACTGAAGTACCTCTTAGACCTTTTTGTTAAGTATGTATTGTAATCTTGCAGAGGAGAAGCATTTTCCAAATGTATTTGAAAGGGTACCTCTTTTTCCCCAGAATATGAATTTTTTTTAGTGTCAATCATTAATTATTTGTTTGGTTTTTAAAAATATTTTTTTAGTTATAGATGGACACAATACCTTTATTTTATTTGTTTATTTTTATATAGTGCTGGGGATCAAACCCAGTGCCTCACATATGCTAGGCAAGCACTCTGCCACTGAGCCACAACCTTGGCCCTTAATTATTTGTTTTTAATGGACAAATAATTATATGTAATTATGTGATACAGTGTGACTTTTTAATTTTTATTTTTTAATTTTATGTTTTTGGTGGTGCTGGGGACTGAACACAGTGGCTCTCTACCACTCAACTACATCCCCAGCTTTTTTTAA